AGGGGTCCTAGGGGTGTCATTCCCCTCAGAACTCTGCCAAGGTCCTCCCAGCCCTATGACATGCTTGTTCCGGTGTCTCAAATATATTACATACTCCAGCAGTCCTCACAGAACTGGGCCAGATTGGTGAACTATTCTTTGACCCACCACAAATTACAGTAGCCAATAGGAGAAGAAAACAGTCAGTCAGCACAACACCCTCAACTATAAGTTTTCCTGTTGATATATATTCTTTTGTTACCTTCTTCCAGAATGCTAAGATATTGGAAAAGTCTTGAAAAGTATTGAACGCTGCATCTACCACCTTGTTTAGCTGTCTCATTTATATTACATACTTCCCAGCACTCTGTACTGAACTGTCATTGGTGGACTATTTTTTTAACCCACCTAATTACAGCCACAGGGAAAAGAGAGCAGTTAGTCAGCACAATACCTCAACTTATGTTTTCCTGTTGGATATTATTCTCTGTTACCTTCTTCAGAATGCATGATAATGGAAAAGTGATGGAGGGTGTATTTATTTAGGAGTAGCATCAACCAAAAATTCAAAATAGCCAGTGGGCCTCTGCACACACAAGGGCCCTACAGGTTTGGCGCTCCCCTGGGGCCCTCCTAGGGTTGGTGCCAGCCACGAAGGGGTGCCACGCCTCATTGGACCTTCTCAGGGTCGCAGCGCCTCCAGGGACCCCTTTCCACGGAGGGGCGCACTCCTAGCACCCTCCCAGGGCGCCTGTGTCTCCCAAGGGAGCCCTCCTCTCTCTCTGGGGCGGCACTACCCCAAGGGACTTTCCCATGGGGTGGTGGGGTTCCCAGAAACCCATTCAAGAGCTCTGGGGACCCATAAGTGGCGGAGGAACTAGGACTTTCCAGTAGGGGATAACGGCACCCCGAGACACCTCCCAGTTATAAAAGCGTCCCAGGGACCTTCCAGTGCTGTGGGGCCCCAGAGGATCTCTCAGGTGCTTGCAGCCGAAAGGACGTCGTTCGAGGGGCCGCGACGTCCCCAGGGACCCCAAGGGCGGTTATGTCCACGGGCGACGTACGGGGGCGGCGCTCCCAGGGGCCCCATCAGTGGTGCCGCTCCCCAGGACTCTGCCCTAAAGGACATGCTTGTTCAAGGTCTCAGTATATTACATACTTCCACCAGTCTCTTACTGAACTGTGATTGCGACTTTTCTTTAAACCAACCAAATTACAGCCACACAGGGAGAAGAGAACAGTCAGTCAGCTCCAACACCTCCAACTTATGTTTTCCTGTTGGATATTTTTCTTTGTTACCTGCTTCAGAGTGCACTGATATTGGAAAAGTGTTGGGGTGGATATATTTAACGTTGCATCTACCAGCTTGTTTCACTGTCTCATATATTACATACCTCCAGCAGTCCCTTACTGAACTGTGATTGGTGGACTATTTTTAAACCACCAAATTACAACCAATAGGAGAAAAGAACAGTCACCAGCACAACGCCTCAACTTATGCTCTTCCTGTTGGATATTATTCTTGTTACCTACTAGAATGGGATGATATTGGAAAAGTGATGGAGGGTGTATTTATTTAGCGTAGCATCAACCAAAGTTCAAAAATATTAGCAAAAATTCACGCACATAGGGGCCCAACAGGTCTGGCACTCCCCAGGCCTCCTAGGGAACGGGCGCCAACAGGTGCCAACAATGCAGGGCGCCGACGCGTCATTGGACATTCTCAGGGGTCATGGGCCTCCGGGACCCTTCCTAGGGGGCGGCACCCCCTAGCACCCTCCCAGGGGCGCCCGTGCCCCGCGCTGAGCCTGTGGGCGGCACTACCCCCCAGGGACTTTCCCATGGGTGGTGGGGCCCTGAAACCCATTCAGAAGCCCGGGACCCAAGGGACGGCGGAGCAAATCCAGGACTTTCCTCAGGATAACGGCCTAGACACTCCCAGTTATAAAAGCGCCCCAGGGACCTTTCCAGGACCGCAAGCTTCCAGTGCTGGGGCTCCCAGGGGTTCTCCCATAGTGCTTGCAGCCGAGCGACAGTTCGAGGGGCCGCGACGTCACTAGGACCTCCCAAGGGCGGTTACGTCCCACGGGCGGCTTTAATGTATGGCGGCACTCTAGGGGTCTCTAATATCAGTGGTGCTGTTCCTGCTGACCTGGCCCTATGACATGCTTGTTCGCTGTCTCAGATATATTACATACTTCCACCAGTCCCTTACTGAACTGTGATTGGTGGACTTTTCTTTAACCCACCAAATTGCAGCCAATAGGAGAAGAGAACAGTCAGTCAGCTCAACACCTCAACTTATGTTTTCCTGTTGGATATTATTCTCTGTTACCTGCTTCAGAATGCACTGATATTGGAAAAGTGTTGGGGGGTGTATATATTTAACGTTGCATCTACCAGCTTGTTTCACTGTCTCATATATATTACATACTTCCAGCAGTCCCTTACTGAACTGTGATTGGTGGACTATTTTTTTAAACCACCAAATTACAACCAATAGGAGAAAAGAACAGTCAGTCAGCACAACGCCTCAACTTATGTTTTCCTGTTGGTTATTATTCTCTGTTACCTTCTTCAGAATGGGATGATATTGGAAAAGTGATGGACGGTGTATTTATTTAGCGTAGCATCAACCAAAGTTCAAAATAGCGCAAAAATTAATGCACATAGGGGCCCAACAGGTCTGGCGCTCCCAGGGGCCCTCCTAGGGGGAACGGCGCCAACAGGTGCCAATGCAGGGGCGCCGACGCGTCATTGGACATTCTCAGGGGTCGTGGGGCCTCCAGGGACCCTTCCTAGGGGGGCAGCACCCCTAGCACCCTCCCAGGGGCGCCCATGCCCCAAGGAGCCCTCTCTGTGGGCGGCACTACCCCCAGGGACTTTCCCATGGGTGGTGGGGCTCCCACAAACCCATTCAGGAGCTCCGGGGACCCAATGGACGGCGGAGCAACCAGGGACTTTCCCAGGGATAACGGCGCCCCCAGAGACACTCCCAGTTATAAAAGCGTCCCAGGGACCTCTCCAGGGACCGTTTCCAGTGCTGTGGGGCTCCCAGGTGATCTCCCATAGGTGCTTGCAGCCGAGCGATCGTTCGAGGGGCCGCGACGTCACCAGGGACCCTCCCAAGGGCGGTTACGTCCCACGGGCTATCGTAATGGCGGCGGCGCCCCCAGGGGCCCTATCAGTGGTGCCGTTCCCCAAGGGACACTGCCCTATGACATGCTTGTTCGCTGTCTCAGATATATTACATACTTCCACTAGTCCCTTACTGAACTGTGATTGGTGGACTTTTCTTTAACCCACCAAATTACAGCCAATAGGAGAAGAGAACAGTCAGTCAGCTCAACACCTCAACTTATGTTTTCCTGTTGGATATTATTCTCTGTTACCTTCTTCAGAATGCACTGATATTGGAAAAGTGTTGGGGGTGTATATATTTAACGTTGCATCTACCAGCTTGTTTCACTGTCTCATATATATTACATACTTCCAGCAGTCCCTTACTGAACTGTGATTAGTGGACTATTTTTTTAAACCACCAAATTACAACCAATAGGAGAAAAGAACAGTCAGTCAGCACAACGCCTCAACTTATGTTTTCCTGTTGGATATTATTCTCTGTTACCTTCTTCAGAATGGGATAATATTGGAAAAGTGATGGAGGGTGTATTTATTTAGCGTAGCATCAACCAAAGTTCAAAATAGCGCAAAAATTAATGCACATAGGGGCCCAACATGTCTGGCACTCCCAGGGGCCCTCCTAGGGGGAACGGCGCCAACAGGTGCCAATGTAGGTGCGCTGACGCGTCATTGGACATTCTCAGGGGTCGCAGGGCCTCCAGGGACCCTTCCTAGGAAGGCGGCACCCCTAGCACCCTACCAGGGGCGCCGGAGTCCTAAGGAGGCCTCTCTGGGGGCGGCACTGCCCCCAGGGACTCTCCCATGGGTGTTGGCGGTCCCAGGAACCCATTCAGGGGCTCCGGGGCCCCAAGGGGCGGCGGAGCCCCCTGGGACCTTCCCAGAGATAACGGAGCCATCAAAGGTACTCCCAGTTATAGAAGCGTCTCCAGGGACCTTCCCAGGGACCCTTTCAAGTCCGGTGGGGTTCCCAGGGGATCTCCCATTGGTACTTACGGTCTCACGGCCCCTTCCAGGGGTGGCGACGTCCCCTGGGACCCTCTTAAGGGCGGTTATGTCCCAGGGGCTCTCATAACGACGGCGACGCCTCCAGGGGTCCTTTCAGGGGTGTCATTCCCTCAGGAACTCTGCCAAGGGTCCCCAAAGGCCCTATGACATGCTTGTTCGGTGTCTCAAATATATTACATACTTCCAGCAGTCCCTTACAGAACTGTGATTGGTGAACTATTCTTTTAACCCACCAAATTACAGCCAATAGGAGAAGAAAACAGTCAGTCAGCACAACACCTCAACTTATGTTTTCCTGTTGGATATATTCTATGTTACCTTCTTCAGAATGCGAAGATATTGGAAAAGTCTTGGAGGGGTGTATATATTGAACGTTGCATCTACCACCTTGTTTAGCTGTCTCATTTATATTACATACTTCCAGCATTCCCGTACTGAACTGTCATTGGTGGACTATTTTTTTAACCCACCAAATTACAGCCAATAGGAAAAGAGAGCAGTTAGTCAGCACAACACCTCAACTTATGTTTTCCTGTTGGATATTATTCTCTGTTACCTTCTTCAGAATGCGATGATAATGGAAAAGTGATGGAGGGTGTATTTATTTAGAGTAGCATCAACCAAAATTCAAAATAACGCAAAAACTACTGCACACAAGGGCCCTACAGGTTTGGCGCTCCCAGGGGCCCTCCTAGGGGCAACGGTGCCAACAGGGGCCAATGAAGGGGTGCCGACGCCTCATTGGACCTTCTCAGGGGTCGCAGCGCCTCCAGGGACCCTTCCACGGGAGGCGGCACTCCTAGCACCCTCCCAGGGGCGCCCGTGCCCCAAGGAGCCCTCTCTGGGGCGGCACTTCCCCCAGGGACTTTCCCATGGGTGGTGGGGCTCCCAGAAACCCATTCAAGAGCTCTGGGGACCTAAGGGGCGGCGGAGGAACCAGGGACTTTCCCAGGGATAACGGCGCCCCCGAGACACTCCCAGTTATAAAAGCGTCCCAGGGACCTTTCCAGGGACCCTTTCCAGTGCTGTGGGGCTCCCAGAGGATCTCCCATAGGTGCTTGCAGCCGAGCGATCGTTCGAGGGGCCGCGACGTCCCCAGGGACCCTCCCAAGGGCGGTTACGTCCCACGGGCTATCGTAATGGGGGCGGCGCTCCCAGGGGCCCTATCAGTGGTGCCGTTCCCCCAGGGACTCTGCCCTATGACATGCTTGTTCGCTGTCTCAGATATATTACATACTTCCACCAGTCCCTTACTGAACTGTGATTGGTGGACTTTTCTTTAACCCACCAAATTGCAGCCAATAGGAGAAGAGAACAGTCAGTCAGCTCAACACCTCAACTTATGTTTTCCTGTTGGATATTATTCTCTGTTACCTGCTTCAGAATGCACTGATATTGGAAAAGTGTTGGGGGGTGTATATATTTAACGTTGCATCTACCAGCTTGTTTCACTGTCTCATATATATTACATACTTACAGCAGTCCCTCACTGAACTGTGATTGGTGGACTATTTTTTTAAACCCCCAAATTACAACCAATAGGAGAAAAGAACAGTCAGTCAGCACAACGCCTCAACTTATGTTTTCCTGTTGGATATTATTCTCTGTTACCTACTTCAGAATGGGATGATACTGGAAAAGTGATGGAGGGTGTATTTATTTAGCGTAGCATCAACCAATTGTTTAGTTGTCTCATTTATATTACATACTTCCAGTATTCCTCTGCATTCGAACTGTCATTGGTGGACTATTTTTAACCCACCAAATTACATACAGCCAATAGGAAAAGAGAGCAGTTAGTCAGCACAACACCTCAACTTATGTTTTTCTGTTGGATATTATTCTCTGTTACCTTCTTCAGAATGCGATGATAATGGAAAAGTGATGGAGGGTGTATTTATTTAGAGTAGCATCAACCAAAACTCAAAATAGCGCAAAAACTACTGCACACAAGGGCCCTATAGGTTTGGCGCTCCCAGGGGCCCTCCTAGGGGCAACGGTGCCAACAGGGACCAATGAAGGGGTGCCGACGCCTCATTGGACCTTCTCAGGGGTCGCAGCGCTTCCAGGGACCCTTCCACGGGAGGCGGCACTCCTAGCACCCTCCCAGGGGCGCCGGTGCCCCAAGGAGCCCTCTCTGTGGGCGGCACTACCCCTAGGGACTTTCCCATGGGGGTGGGGCTCCCAGAAACCCATTCAGGAGCTCTGGGGACCCAAGGGACGGCGGAGCAACCAGGGACTTCCCAGGGATAACGGCGCCCCCAGAGACACTCCCAGTTATAAAAGCGTCCCAGGGACCTTTCCAGGGACCCTTTCCAGTGCTGTGGGGCTCCCAGGGGATCTCCCATAGGTGCTTGCAGCCGAGCGATCGTTCGAGGGGCCGCGACGTCACCAGGGACCCTCCCAAGGGCGGTTACGTCCCACGGGCTATCGTAATGGCGGCGGCGCCCCCAGGGGCCCTATCAGTGGTGCCGTTCCCCCAGGGACTCTGCCCTATGACATGCTTGTTCGCTGTCTCAGATATATTACATACTTCCACCAGTCCCTTACTGAACTGTGATTGGTGGACTTTTCTTTAACCCACCAAATTACAGCCAATAGGAGAAGAGAACAGTCAGTCAGCTCAACACCTCAACTTATGTTTTCCTGTTGGATATTATTCTGTTACCTTCTTCAGAATGCACTGATATTGGAAAAGTGTTGGGGGTGTATATATTTAACGTTGCATCTACCAGCTTGTTTCACTGTCTCATATATATTACATACTTCCAGCAGTCCCTCACTGAACTGTGATTGGTGGACTATTTTTTTAAACCCCCAAATTACAACCAATAGGAGAAAAGAACAGTCAGTCAGCACAACACCTCAACTTATGTTTTCCTGTTGGATATATTCTTTGTTACCTTCTTCAGAATGCGAAGATATTGGAAAAGTCTTGGAGGGGTGTATATATTGAACGTTGCATCTACCACCTTGTTTAGCTGTCTCATTTATATTACATACTTCCAGCATTCCCGTACTGAACTGTCATTGGTGGACTATTTTTTTAACCCACCAAATTACAGCCAATAGGAAAAGAGAGCAGTTAGTCAGCACAACACCTCAACTTATGTTTTCCTGTTGGATTTTATTCTCTGTTACCTTCTTCAGAATGCGATGATAATGGAAAAGTGATGGAGGGTGTATTTATTTAGAGTAGCATCAACCAAAATTCAAAATAGCGCAAAAACTACTGCACACAAGGGCCCTATAGGTTTGGCGCTCCCAGGGGCCCTCCTAGGGGTAACGGTTCCAACAGGGGCCAATGAAGGGGTGCCGACGCCTCATTGGACCTTCTCAGGGGTCGCGGGGCCTCCAGGGACCCTTCCTAGGAAGGCGGCACCCCTAGCACCCTCCCAGGGGCGCCGGAGTCCTTAGGAGGCCTCTCTGGGGGCGGCGCTGCCCCCAGGGACTCTCCCATGGGTGTTGGTGGTCCCAGAAACCCATTCAGGAGCTCCGGGGACCCAAGGGACGGCGGAGCAACCAGGGACTGTCCCAGGGATAACGGCGCCCCCAGAGACACTCCCAGTTATAAAAGCGTCCCAGGGACCTTTCCAGGGACCCTTTCCAGTGCTGTGGGGCTCCCAGGGGATCTCCCATAGGTGCTTGCAGCCGAGCGATCGTTCGAGGGGCCGCGACGTCCCCAGGGACCCTCCCAAGGGCGTTACGTCCCACGGGCCCTCATGCTGCAACGTCCGCCTCCTAAGGTCCTTTCAGGGGTGTCATTCCCTCAGGGACTCTGCCAAGGGTCCAAAGGCCCTATAACATGCTTGTTCAGTGTCTCAAATATATTACATACTTCCAGAGTCCTTACAGAACTGTGATTGGTGAACTATTCTTTTAATCCACCAAATTACAGCCAACAGGAGAAAACAGTCAGTCAGCACAACACCTCAACTTTGTTTTGCTGTTGGATATATTCTCTGTTACCTTCTTCAGAAT